GATTAAGCAATGATCTGGATAGAGTGAAAACAATTCATTAGGGCGACAAGCATCTATAAATTTGTTTTGTTAATGTAGTTGTCAATGATAAGTTGGAGTGGTCTTTCTTAATCATGCAGATAAGTCCTCAAAAAGTTTAGTAGTACAATTATTTGGTGTGAAGGAACTTAAGACTTTATGAAAAGTCTTTTGGAAGATAGAGGTAAGAAATAAACCTGTGAGTTATATGTTATTGATTGATTGATTTTATTTTTTGAGAGGGAGAGAAAGAGGGTGAGCGGGGGAGGGGCAGAGAGAGGGAAAGAGGATCCGAATCAGGATCTGCACTGGTAGCAGAGAGCCAGTTGTGGGGCTCAAACTCATGAACCCCAAGATCATGACCTGAGCCAAGGCCAAAAGGCCAACCTACTGAGCCACCCAGGTGCCCCTTATATGTGTTTTATATTCTCTGAGTAAAATAATGGATTCCTCACACTTAATTAAAATAATATCGGGGCGCCTGGGTGGCGCAGTCGGTTAAGCGTCCGACTTCAGCCAGGTCACCATCTCGCGGTCAGTGGGTTCAAGCCCCGCGTCAGGCTCTGGGCTGATGGCTCAGAGCCTGGAGCCTGTTTCCGATTCTGTGTCTCCCTCTCTCTCTGCCCCTCCCCCATTCATGCTCTGTCTCTCTCTGTCCCAAAAATAAATAAATGTTGAAAAAAAATTAAAAAAAATAAAATAAAATAATATCTGTGCTATATTATACATATTAAAGTAGTGATAATACTTTGTTTTACTAAAATTTTCAGAATGTTTATCATAAAGCATCTGCAAGGCATTTTTGTTTACAATATGTCAACTTTTATATGCTGATAAAATGCTTACACACAGACTTTGCTGCCATCTTTGTTCTTCTATCAAGGATGTTCTAGTCTCTCTCAATTTTTAAGTGTAGATTTTTGTCTTTCTCTTCTCACATTGCCCAATATGCCCACACCCACCTCTATTGTTTGTTTCATGGACCCCATGTCCCCTCTCCCAGGTCTCACCATATTTCCTGGACAGACACAGAGTGACATGAGTGGTAGAATGTTTAAGAAATCAACCAACCAACCAACCTTTTGTGTAACCCCCTCAGTTATGTTGAAACATCTTCTTGAGTCTTCTTAGGACTCTTATTAGGTAGAAGTAGTGGACTCACAATAACTTTATGCTGAAGTTCCTTTTACAAAGGCTTCCATCCCCTCGCCAGAGTTTTAAAGCCCACTCACACTAAAACTACCATTTTTTATTTCCCAGATGTCATGGCAAGAACTTCCATCATGTTTCACTATCTGCCTAATCTTCTCTTTCCAGTATAAATATCTAGCTCTTTTTCCAGTTATCTTTAACAAGAGTGAGTTGTGAGCTACAAATACTACATCTAAACTTCTCTAGTTGTTCAGATTACAGTTCAGTTCTAGTCCAGTATAAACAGAAGCCAAAATTTATGACCTTGATTCTCTTATCCATACCAGTTCCCATTAATCAGAATCCTATGCACACAAATATGTTTAAAACAAAAATTTGGATAAATCAAAAAAGTGCCAGTTTGTTACAAAACTAATTGACTTGTTTTCCCCATCTTAAAGATGGGATTAGCTAATAGGTTAGAGTTGAATTCTGAGGGGCAAAATTTCTGATTTCTGGAGAAAATCAGGCAAGATAGAATAGTGAGCCATCCCAGTCTGAGGTTGGGAAAACACCATTAAAAGCACAATACCCAGATTGTGGTTGCATAGCCAAGAGTTTTAATTTAAAATAGGGATCAGTTCAGAGTGAGGACAGATGGGTAATAAGCAATTATGGAGTGCTAAGGTCTTAGTCAAATGTCAGATTATTCAGTTGGCATCATGAGTCATCAGTTACAGAGACAGCTAAGAGGAAGTTCTCTTCCCATGTTTCATATTGGGTTGGGTTGGTGATCCACAGGGTAGGCAAATAATGTATTGGAATTGCTTATGGTGGCCAGTGGTGAAATAAGACAACAGTATTGACTCCCATCCTCAAATGTGAGTGTGTATGTTGCACAACTACTTTCCATTGTACTGTCAGCCAGTAGTGCTTGTGGGAATGACCTGATGGAAATCTGATGAAAAGTAAAAGGAGATTTTGTGCCGGGCTGGCTCTTCGGGCAAATGGAAAAGAAATAATTCTTAAGATTTCTAATAGGATTCACTGGTAATCTCAGCTGTGCTATAATATAAGTGAACATGATAAGTGGCCACCATGGGGAGAGTATGAGATAACTAAGTATGGTTATATAATACAAATGAGCATGTGGTGATGAGATTTATGTCTAGGCATATATTATCAGGCATAAATTCATAGTGTTTATTTAATTTTCCATTTAAACTACTAATGAAGTACTCTATAATGTAGGATACTAAAATTGTGCCAAATTAGTGCAAATTCTGCACTGCATGAAAGAAAATACTGTAATTACTGAACAGTAGAAATATAATTGTTTATAGTCCTTAAGCATCACTGCAATTAAGGCATCACATTTGTTATGCTTTCTTTAGAATCTGCAGTTAGTGGTTTTTTAATCCTTTTTTTTAACCCTTTATTTTCTGGGTTTACTACTTTTTTTTTTTT